AGTCAAGTTTTAAAACTAACTTAACCAAGTTGCAACTCGACTTAGCACTAGGATTGACAAAATCTCAAGTCTACATAGGGGTTGACTTATCCCTTTAAAGTTGGCTGAAACATTGATTTGAATAGGCAAACAAAAATCCTATCTTATAATACTCCCCATATCTAGAACTCAAGATGAACTTAAGAATTAAAATAAACTTAAATTCAATCTTGGTTATACCTTCGCTTAAGCTTAGTTCCAACTTATAATGTTTAAAACTATGGCTGTAAAACTATGGCTGATAGTTTCACTCATTCTCTCATCCCTTATCCCCTATAATAAGTACCCCATTGTATGAAGAATTCAATTATGGTTTGTTTGACTTAAGGTTAGACAACAGTGATTGAGGGCCAGACATGTCTGTCACGCATACCTGTAGTACATCTCATCGCTGACCTCGTCCTGGACCTGATGGAAGGCAGAGTCTTTGGCGGCCTCTTTCCAGGCCTCGACATATCCCTTGAGGTTTTTGGTGCTCCCACTGCCCGATTTGGCCAACTTCTCCAACTCCGGCAGGAATTTTGCGAGCGGGTTGTCCGCCTTCTTGGCGGTGTACTTACGCACCACAACCACCGCATCTCCCGTTCCCGTGCAGAAGCCGGCGCGGCCTGACGTATAGCCCCGGCCGTCCCCGATGTCCTCGCAATAGGCGTATTGCAGTTCAATGGTGTCGTTCTCGAAGATGGATGTATACTCTTCGCACCGCTTCTTGGCAGCCGCCGGTAGGTCTGCGCCCACCCTATAGACCACAAACACCAACACAAATACCAATGAAAACTTCATGATTTGCGATCCCTTTTTGCTGCTAATCAATCGGAAGACTCAATGATTTGAGGACTAAATGATTGCACTCTTATATACCATTTGTTTTGCAATTAATTATCTGCTTTTTTCAAGTTGTTTACCATTTGTTCAATTTTTGCAATCGATATTTTTGTGATAAATGTTTTTACTTTAATTGATTATTTTTAAAATTAGTAATTGATTGTAAAATATTCTAGAAAATATTTTAATACTTTATACAGTATCATTTTAATAACACATGTTTTGCTTTATTAATTGTTAATCAGTTTATTAGTATTTTCTCATTAAAATCTAACTTGTATTATTTCTTAC